CAAAGGTCAAAGTCTGCAGGCTGCTTGGCAAGGTGACACCTTCCAAGCTCTGGTCAAAGTATTTGCCGAAGGTCAATGTCTGCAGGCTGCTTGGCAAGGTCACACCTTCCAAGCTGTGGTTGAACTTGTAGCCGAAGGTCAAAGTCTGCAGGCTGCTGGGCAAGGTGACACCTTCCAAGCTCTGGTTGAATTTATGACCGAAAATCAAACAGGATGCTTGGCAAGGTGACACCTTCCAAGCTCTGGTTAAACTCCTTGCCAAAGGTCAATGTCTGCAGGCTACTTGGCAAGGTGACACCTTCCAAGCTCTGATTTGAACTCGTTGCCGAAAGTCAAAGAGGCGATTGCATCCGTCACTGTTGCATGCATGTGGTCTCTCCTCCTCTCTGCGAGAACCCTTCGGAACCCAATCGCTGCCTCCAGCGCACAAACCTGTCCAGCCTTCACGCCGATTCATCGTGCGATAGTCGATAGTCTTCGAGAGGTCGCCCACCTCATGAGATGCTGAGTCAAAAGAGGGAAGTTGAACAGGCTCAAAGCCATACCCAGTGTCCAATTAAAGTCTAAACTTTGATACCAAAAAGTAACATAATGCAAGTCATTGCAAGTCCGTGTGCAACAGTTGAAATATGAACCTTGCACGAAAGTATTTGGTATCGCTACCAACACAAGTTCTGCATCAGTTCCATCATTCCCCGCACTCCTCATCAAGTTCCCTCAATTTTGAAAGCACAAGAAGTTGGCAGGCCAAGAGTCCGACTTCGTGGCTCCGAGATACGAATACAGCGCCAGTCTCTGAGAAGGATGGTAGGAGGGTATAGGTTCGTTCGGAGGCCCATGATGTAGTTTCATGACGTTTGTGGTGATTGCTCTAAAGATGATCTTCCTTTTTGGATGATGCATGTTCGTTGGAAACCGACGCATGATTCATTAGGGTGAGTTTCAATCCGAACTTGCCCAAGACCTTGAACACCAAGCGAGATCATCAGGTGAATCTTGAACATCAAATTTGTTGGTAGTTCATGAACTGCTTCCCATGCAAGTTGACTCTGACTTCTTGTTGGAGCATGATTGATGGAGCTGCATGTGGTTTTAGAACTCCCTTGGACGGCGTCAAAACCTTTGAAAGTCCACTGGAGGCTCTCATTCTAAGGTTGGGATTGCTGAACAAACAAACTGTCCAAAGCTCTTTTGGTTCAGAATCTAGCCTTTGTTTGAGCCTCCAGCTGTTTTTCCTTCAGAACTCCATGTCTTTGAGGGAGGGGACGAAGACTCCCAAAAAAGTATATTGACAGCCCCAAAAAATAGGCACCAGTCATGTGCGATAGGCGCTTCACCCCAACACTTCGGACTCATGATCGAGCTATACTAACTGCTGTCTCGCTGCAGTGGCCGTCTCATCCACTGGGAGCTCAAAGCTTGTGCCATCAAGGCCGTTTCCGGTCCAACTGCTCTGCGAGTTCTGTGCCTCCGCTACCAGCCTCGCGGTCCGCACATGTGGAAGCACGGTCAACTGGATGTTCGACGAACTTGTACCGAAAAGACTTTCCATGAGACTTTATCCTAGATATATTGATGATGGCAAAGCTCATCGACCTGGTGCTTAGCAAAAAGGAAAACGGCAAAAATATCGGCGGACCCCTGGTGAAGGACGGCTTTGCAATGTGTAACAAGGGCATCGCTACTAGGAGCAAGGACGCTACAACAAAGGGCATCGCTAGTAACAAGAAGCGACGAACGTAACAAGGTGAGTCGGGGAAGGTCCGCCAAGCAGCTCAGTCCTGTCCAGATCCTCTGCGGATTTTCCGCTTCATCGTGCAACCACACAGCGCTGGCTGGTGGCACCCATGGCGAGTGGATCGTCCGATGGCAGGACGAGAAAAGCATAAAAAGGTGCGATCACCTGAAGTGTGTCAGAAATTAGTATTAGGCCTGTGACTTCTTTACGTGCCGTGTTGTTTAACCGTGTTTTTCTTGGTCACTCAAGAGGCTACAAGTACCACGAAACAAACCACACACACAAACGCACACGCGTGTGCACATGCACGATGCACTATGCGCACAGGCAGCCAAGGACAGCAAGCTGGGCTCCTCTTCGCACCTTCAAAGGCCACATATTATATATTATACATACTAGGGCCCCGTTTTGGGGTGGTTAATTGATACCTCTTAACCTCTAAAGAGCTATAATTAAACACCCCACACAGGGGGCCCTGGTATATTATATGTGTTATGCGGCGTTCAATATATATAAATATATATTACAAATATATAATATATATAGGTACGTCGATGTCGACATGTTGTCTTTACCGATTGAACTCTCTTGTTTCGCCAAGGCACGCCCACGAGGCAGGATCTGGGGGGCTCACCTGGGTGGAGTGCTCCGAGCAATTGGAGAAGCCCAAAACCACACGGAATTGGAAGTGTTTTGAAATGCAAACAAACAACTCTGAAGCCCTTTTGAAGGAGGCATGCTTGTTGATCGCTACACAGCAGCTATCCATGTTCATGATCCAGGCGATTTTCAGGGACGAGCGCGGCCCTCGTGACACGGTATCCACCTGCCCCGGCGCCATGCCGCGGCCCCGAGGTCCCTAGAGTCCGAGAGGGGGCCCTAATTGGGAGTTGCCCGACCATCTCCTTGAGCTGCACAGTAGACCTGTGCAGCAAAGAGATGTGACCACCACAGATGCTGTACCGGAGGCATTTTGGCTTGACCAATCTGGGTCCAAAGGCACCGCGACATAAGGGGGGATGCGATTGGCTGGTTCCTGTTCCCCGAAAAATCCCAAAGGACCTGGGCCAGTGACAATGACAAACGGCATCCTGATTGATCAAATACCAAGGGATCTTGGGGGAGCCAGTTCCTTCTGAAAAAAATAACATATCCCATATCGGTATCTGTGGCAAGATCGAGCTGGCGCAGTCTCTCCACTGAGCTCCAAACACTGCCAGTCTCACCGATTGATGCCTCGGCCCAGTCGAAATGGTGCCCCACCGCGGACCGTGCGGACGTGCCATGGGACAACGCACATGGGACAACCACCGGCTGCGTGGGGTGTTCAATTAAAGCTCCCTTTTTGCCGGGGCATGCCAGGGCCAACATGTCTTTCCAGGTTTCTTCTTGAGGTTCTTCTGGACTTCAAGCAAGCATCTGCCAGGGATCGAGATTAAAGTTCAAGTACGTGATTTGTTGGGCGCGGCTGGCGTTATTCTTGTCTCCCCCGCAAATAGAATGTGATGGAATGTGATGGAACCTCGAGAACCACCGACCCACACAACCACAGTCATAACGCGACCAGTTTGGGAGTCATAGTCATCTCCAGTATTCACCCCTAACACGACCAGGTCTAGTCAGAACTAATTAGGCAAAAACAAAAACATGATGTACTCAGGACTCAGGTCCTTGTCAGTCCGTTGGCCTCCCCGCTTGCGAATTCCACCAACAAGTACCGTCCGTCCTTCACACCAACCAAAAAACCAAGCAACGACCGGCGGAAGCCGGCGGAAGAACGACCGCCCGGGCGCTCTCGCCTTGTCATCGGATCGCTCCTCTACTCCGACCTCGGCGGAAAAAGGGACGGAAAAACGACGCGGATCGACGGACGGTGCGAGAAACAGTTTTGGTCCTCCAGAAACTTGAGGTCTTTAAGGTCGTTTTGGCGTCTTTCTTCGTTTTTTTTTTGGGGGGGGGGTTCTTAAGCGAGTTGATTGATATTACAAACTTGGTGTAGAAACTATGTACAGTCAGGTCAGCATCCAAAAAGGTGGTCAACATGGACGGCCAAACTGGCGACAACGGCACCGTGTCATGTCTTCCACGAAACAACACCACTTGCCATCGTTTTTGCCCCGCACTTCAAGTTCCATTTTTTGTTCTTATGTGAGTGCCTTTCTAAGACACTAAATCCCTGCAAAACTACTCGTGAAGTCCTTTCCGGAGTCTCCCCCGTGGCGCGACGTGACGCTTGGGGAGCGAATGTCGCTTCGAACCGTGTACTGAGTGCCCGGCAGTTGTAGACCTGGTGGCCCGGAGGTTTCGCAGCGACAGTGATTACAGTCAAAGTGATTTAAATCGTGTTTGATTACATGTTATACAATTTTACATGTTTCTGCGAGTCTTGCATTGAACTTGGAGCTCCGAAATGATAAATCTAACAAATCAATCTTCAAATTCTTGACCTGGGGTCTTCTAACTCCACTGACAGGTCTAATACGTTCTTCTCGCGCTGTTCGCCGCGTCCAGAGGTTCTCCGGAAGCGCAGACCGGGCGTCTCTACAAGTTCACCAAACTCGGGTCCCAAGGCATCTGGAGTGGGGAAGGTGGCTCTTCAGCACGTCCTGGCGAACACGTGGCGTGCTAAAGTGGATCTCCACTCCCGGGCTTGGACCTTTTTGGATGCGAATCTCTTGAAAAGAACTGGGTGCACTGGTTGACTGGACCCATGAGGAATAAACGCGTGAGTTTCAGTTGGAGTGATTTTTCATCCCGGTGAAGTGAATCGACATGTATAACATGTAAAACATCGACATGTAGTCTCCATGTTTGTGGGAAAAATGGATTTTTTCGTGTGGTGTTACCCAGCACCCAGCAAATCACCTAACACAAGCGCAGTCAATCACATACAAACCTATCAGCCTTCCCCTTTTATACATGTACCAATCATGTACCATACACATATTATATATATATATATCATATATACTGGGATCCTCATGATCCTCATGGCGCTTTCTCGTGCCTTTTGACGAATTGACCCAGGAATCCAGTTTTCCCATGAACCTGGTGACAATGTGGGTACATGGCACTTTCTTACATGGCCCCAACAAGCTCAAAATCAGCAAACAACATGGTTTGGTCGCCTCAACATGCTCAGGGTCCCCTCAACATGGGTCACGGCTGTTATTATAAATATTTGGACATGGCTCGTTAAGCATCCCGGAGTAAATCACTTGCTGCATAGGGCAGCTGCAAACAGCTCTGCTCTAATAAGAAAGCCTAACCAGGAGCGCAAACCCATTGACCAAAATGTTGGACTACCAACCCATCAACCATGGGGTTGGAATGCTTCCTGTAGTAAGACTACCTGGAACCCCAACAACCAGAAACAAAGGATGTTTCCCCCAATTCACCGCTAGTCGCGCTTCTTGTGTAAGGATCTCAATTGTGGAACATGGAAAATAACATAAAAGATCATAAAAGAATCTTCCTGGCTGTTTCATACATGGAATCACCACCCGCGAGCCAGTGAGCACTCCTGGCGACTCCTCCAGATCTAAGTGACCTGGCGATTTGCTCCGGCAAAGGGAGGGAGTATCCAGGCCAAGAGAAGGAGATTATCCAGGCCCCCAAAACGTCCCTCAATCCTTTTGGACAAGGCAAGGTCGTTTATCTAATCCAAAAACAGTGTGGAAAACGGTGATTCACATTGGACATCTGATGAAATGTCAACT